ATTATACCCATGCTCTGATCAGGACTCAATGATTCGCTACATCGGATTTGTCTTGTCGGAAATCAAAGCCGCGCGGTCTGAGCGGCGGCATGGGGTTCGGGTTATCCGACGGCGCCGAGTCAGGTCGTCGTCACACGCAGGGCATTGTGGAAAGGGAAAGCACAGCCCCCAAAAGCCGCCTATCTGTATCAATATAACAAACAGTCAAGTAATATTGCCAGTCTCCTTAATCTGGGTGCGCTCAGAGATCCGTGTTCTCCGTGCCAAGCCAGTTCCCTCGTGCAACTCACGTGGATCATGATAAGGTTAACGCATTGGCTCGCATCCAATGTTATTTTTCACTGCTTCTGAGTCAGCATGATCTCATTGTTACCCTTTGAAGACAGCAATATGTCAAAAACCCATGACAGTGGGTCGGAATTTCTAACGCCTCCAGCGTTATCTGGATAATCTGGATCGATACCCCGAGAACTTGGCAAAGGCAAGAGTTGACTCGTGTCGAAGCAGCCAAGAAGCCTTGAGAGAATTCATATTAACCTGGGTCTCATGAAGCAATTGATTCATAAATTGTCAGCAACAGCACGTCTTTTCTGTCACATGACATAGCATGTCCGTTCCTCGCACTTTTGTGACCTCCAGTTGTATATCCTCACCGAGACCTCCACTGTCAGTATGGCTATGTCTCACATAGCTCTCTATTATTTAAGCCGAAGTCATAGGATGGAAGGGTAGTTATCTAGTTGAAGAAGGTCTTCTCTGGTGGTCATCGTGTGCCATCTAGTGTTGCCCAGCATAAACCCGGTCGACGACCCCACCATAAATGGCAAATTCGCTGTTCCCCAGATACTGCTACCGATCATTGCAGTGGTGAGGCCAATAACAGCGGCTGTAGACGTGCCGGCTAGCCCATTGCGGAGCATCCTTGCAAGACATTAGCAGGAACAAAGCATTGGCTGGCGAGCATGATCAGCGGCTTACAGCAGGCCGCGCCCACTATTGAAGTCTGTTCAAGCCCATCTATGGATAAATATAGATAATCTAGACTGCGTCCTTGACGTTGCCCTATCCGCCTAAAATCCTGAGCAGATTGAAGCGACGGTGGGCATTGGGGCTGAACTCGTTGACCTACTGTGTCGCAGTTAACTCCGCGAGGCGGCAAGAAGTAGATGGACAAACAGCATATTCCTGTCTGGCCACGTCGGTCGCCAAGGTGTATGCACGAAAGACTCATACATGCATCTTATCTATAGTTAACAGCGTAGGCTTGGGTATTTTTGCCGACTTCGCATCATTTCCCAGCTGGCTGCTCGTCACGTATCGTTCTTATACATACATATGCGTTGAAAGGGTCGGACAACTCGAATATGGAAACAGACATAGACTGTGTAACATCGTTGGGTGCAAAAGTTTGAATGTTGCTTAGAGACGTTGGATATCGAAATGCCAATCTTCATGAATAGAGCCACAAGAAAGTAACGGGGTCTATACCGGATATGCCTACTTCTATTACCGCTTTGGCAACCAACAGCAGCATGCGCGACCTTTTTACTCGCATACGCAGTCCTTGAAATATGCAACCGACACTGCCTATGAAAGCTAGGTGTAAGCACATATGGATGCGCCTGTTTAGGCTTTAGATGCTTCTTCCGCGAAACTTGAAACTTTTTAGATCTTCATATTGCTCGCGGAGTCAAATATATATACATGTCCCATCCCCGCTTGGAAGATTACGGTGTCACCCTGCCTTTCACCTGCAGCATGGGTATCCCCTTCAATTCGCTTTCGGGGTTGCTACCTGCGATGTGCTCCCGTTACAGTTGGCGCATGGGACACCTTGATGCCAGACGGCCTTGAGGACTTTGACGCTAAAGCACTGGTGAATAGGATCGTTGCGGGCAAAGTGACAATAAGATTTCAACCTCACGACCGAGTGGTCGCAGGTGAAGTAAAACTCCTCAAAGTCGCACATTTTGGAGATTTTTCTGAGCGTGATCTTGAGATTGTAACTTCAAGTGAGAGTTTGAGTGCGTGGCTGGATCGTGTGGTTTCTCTTGGTTAATAAATGGTCAATGGATTGCGCGCTTCGATGTATGCTGTCTTTGTGAGCAGCTTTCGGTGTCTGACCTGTGGAAGAGAAGTGGGCGCATTTTATATTAACTCCTCAAGTGAGGTGATGAATCACAGGGGAAGTTCTGCGGCCGTGAAAGACGGCCATTCAAATGATGAATGGAGTCGGTGGCTATGATAAATCATCAAGTGACAAGTCACAGCACCATGTTCTTTGATGGTTCTGTCCTTTTGACTGAAGCGCAGTTAATTGAACATAGGCTTATTTTGCGTTTGTTCCGACAGCATGCAAAAGTTCCGGCTATTCATAGAAGTATTCCACCAGTAGTTAACAACTTCATATACAAGTGTTTGATGCCGACGAGCTTGACCTAAGTCTCAGTATCCGCACTTAACACTCTGCCAATATAGTGACACTATAGTCGCACCTACTTCAGAATTTGTTGACGTTGGAAGAAAACCAGTACCGTATCAGAAATGGAGGAAACAAAGGGTTGAATCATTAGCTTTTGGCTGGCTTACGTGTTAGTACCGCCCTTCAATGGAAAGAGGCCGATTTCAATTACTGTCAGTTGAGTAACATAGCACCAACATTTCAGTCGAGGATTTTCCCTCTCTGATTCGAATACACTTGGTTTTCTCAGTGCTGTTTGCTCAGTCTCTGGACGTATAGTTGGCTTATGCTCACAGACAGCGGGCGTACCGAGTACACAAGCTGGAAGCAAATATATATTTGGCATGGGCGAAGCCTGACGGACAAATTGCTCATGAGACGCTATGGTTCGATAAAAGCATGGAGTAAACTGAAACGAGCCGCTTCAGTTGTTTGTTTCGGGAAGATGTTGTGGATGTCATCCGGTCATTTGCAAAGGTTTATTTTCGTGGTGTTCGCTGCGTTGCGCAGCCAGCGAATAGTACGGCTTCGCATCACCCCACTCGGACAGGCAGCAATGTCCGAGGCCCTGAAGACACCTTGGACAAGCGTGTTGACCAGGATCATACCAGAGATAACATCGGAAAATTTGCGCAATAATCCGTGATAGGAAAGTCTCCAGTCATTTTGATTCCGCAGAGGTCGAAGTGCGGCTTTGTTAGTCAGTCTTTGTTCCTGCGAACGGCGCTTACATGGTCCGACCGGTCCCGGACATTTGGGGATGGCCGAATCGCGCCGGCGGCTACCACACCACCATTGTTTTAATCTTTCAGACTGTCTCGGTCCCGGCCTTGTCCGACAATGCTGCACTGGCCTCATGCGTCACAACATTCTACTTCTTAAACGACAGGGCGCCCGGCAAGATGGCGGCAGCCAAAGGTCAACCCAAAACCTATACCCAGATTGAGTGCACTGCCGTCAGACCGACTCGGTCCTATACAGCTATCAACTGCTCGGTCACCGCACCATTCCGTCAAACATGGCATCACTAGCAGCAATTCGACGCTTTCGACCAGCGACCGTCGCAGCAGCCGTCGCGGCTGGCGCCATCGGCTTGGGAGTCACGTCAAAGCTTCTCGTGGGGAATGCTGCCGCGGAATCGGGTGCTCCGCCAAAGGTGTTTGGCGCGGGGCCAGCGTTCGTATCATTGCCCTTGGAGAGCTCGGAGAAGGTGAATCACAATACGAAACGTCTGCGGTTCAAGCTGCCGCAAAGGGAGGCCGTTAGCGGGCTCTCGTTAACATGTAAGATCGGTCGCACTCAGAGGGACCGGCAACCAGCTAACAATGAAACAGCGGCTGTCCTCACAATGTCATGGCCCGAGGGTCGCTGGTTTCCCGTCGCAAGACCGTACACGCCCATTCAGCCCCTAGGTATGACTGCTTTCTCAGCCTGAACAAGAAGTGCAACGTTGACGGATGATCAGAGGATACCGGCTACCTAGAACTCATGGTAAAAAAGTACCCTGACGGCAAGCAGAGCACACATCTCCACTCCCTTGCACCGGGCGAAAAGCTGCTCTTCGCCCTGGCGATAAAGGGCCACCAGTGGAAGCCCAACAGCTACTCTCACGTTACCCTGATCGCAGGCGGCGCGGGCATCACGCCGATCTACCAGCTGGCCCAGGGAATCCTCCGCAACCCGCAGGACAAGACGACCGTGACGCTCGTTTTCGGCGTCAACTCGGACCAGGACGTCTTGCTCAAGGAGGAGTTGGAACAGTTCGAGAAAGACTTCCCCGGGAGGTTCAAAGCTGTTTACACGGTCAGCAATCCCGTAGCAAACTCGCCTTTTAGAAAGGGCTACGTGACGAAAGAGCTGCTGCAGGAAATTGGCGCAGTGCCGAAGGGCGTCGAGACCAAGGTGTTTGTATGTGGCCCGCCGGCGATGGAGGCGGCGCTGGTTGGAAAAAGAAGCGCGCCGGGTGTGCTGCAACAGCTTGGATACCGGAAGGACCAAATTTATAAGTTTTAAAAGAAGGGTTAAATGTGTAAAATAGACCGTAATTAAACAATTAACAAGTGATTTGGCTAGAAATAATGTGGTTATTAGAAAAAATGGTATCATATGAAGCGGATCATTCTCATTGTGGGATCACATGTACCGTATGTATGTATGTACGTATATATGGTATGTACTCCGTATACCTTGGGTAGAATTGACAAATCCGTCATCAAGCATCTGATCAGACATGCTAGCTTTCTTAGGATTATTTACTGCTCAGCCATTCCAACTTCGGATCCTGGTTCCAAACAATGAATAATCCGCCTTGCTAGCCCACTAAGAATTTATAAGTATTCTTTACAGGGGATCTCTCAACAATCCAAGGCAGATGTTCCATCTGCCCGGCTAGCTCAATCGGTAGAGCGTGAGACTCTTAATCTCAAGGTTGTGGGTTCGACCCCCACGTCGGGCTCAATTCCCGTCAGCGGTTGATAAGAATAACTTTTTCTTTTGTCTTTGCTGTAGATGAGTAAGGTTTCGCTATACGCTAGCAACTGGGTTGCTGCTGTTAAATCGGTAGAGCGTGAGACTCTTAATCTCAAGGTTGCGGGTTCGACCCCCGCGTGAGGCTCAAATCCTCACCGCGATTGGCATAGCCACTCCTACGGGTTAATCTTTTGGCCCTCGTTTTGTTTTAACGGCTTGCGGCTTCCCTCTGTTTTGTTCTATGCTTTAGTGAAAGACAGCTGACGATTTGGTTACATGTGTGGTGTGAGCTTGCATGATGAGTCTTGCATTGAAACAGTATGGCGCTGAAGTGGATCTTTGTTTATCGCTGTGAGGTTTTTTTCTTTCTTCCTGTTTTATGAATATCCACCCTAATATCGTCGCTATCTATATGGATGGAAGTTTGGTGGGTTTCCAGCCAAGCATTATCGTCATGGCATCAATCCGTGTCAACGGCATGGGAGTGTGTTTCACGTTTGTGATTCTAGCGATTAAACCCAGGGCATGCATACATGCATGCATGTGTGTGAAAAGATTATCAGAATTAGGCCTCTCTGCAAGCGAACACGTGAATATTAGAACTACTACGCAGTATGCAAATGTGGCTGGAAATTAATTATCCAGGAGCGGAACAAGCAGAGCTGCTCCGTCAACAGACAGACAGGGTTGATTAAGGTTGCTTGCGACGCAGCCCGGATAAGGAAGTGCCGCCTCTCGGACATCGTCTTTCTCCGCATTCCGTCCGGGCTTGTTTCCCGCTTTCAGCGAATCAATGCGCCCCATGGGGGACGGGGTGGATCCCGGAACCTCGTAGCGAGCCTCTTCAGCGCCGAGTGCCCCCCCCCCTGGCTGTGGCGCTCAGTGGCCCAGTGGGAGTGGGTCGTGCGCTCTGGGTGAGGTCAGTGCCTGGCCCACATCAGCTTCAACACCTTGCTGCCATCTGTCCAGCCAGGCGGAATCGCGACGACCATCACAGCCTGTTCCTCATCACGATTCGAACGACTTCACAATTTGGCGAACGACACATGCGAATTCCCAACCACGTCCAACCGGTCAATAACCAACGAAGCATTCGAGTTTCACCGACATCGATCAGTGCCCAGCGAACCGTCGGTTGCCAGCTTCCTATCGTGCACGCTCGTCGCTCCCGGCGTCTCCGACTTCCAAACTCTCACTCGACCCTCGTTACCTCTCTTTCCCCTGCAATCCTGGCTTCCCCGGCCGGGTGAGCTGGTCGAGGACGTCCAGCGCCAGTCGAATGAATGCAACCCCTAAATCCATTCCTCGCCGCCTTCTTCCGAAGCTCCCTGCCATCACAGTGTACGCCGGTACATCACCACATCCTCCTGGTTCCCGCCACCGACGTACTCTTCACATGTCGCGAGATCGAGAGTGGCTCCACCTTCCATGAGCTCATCACTTCGGAGGAGTTTCTGGCTAGCCATGTACTCCGAATACCGGCATCCAACACCGCCACCGCCGCTGGGGGCAAAGATGGCGCGCAGAACCTGCGGGAGCTGAGGGGCAAGGCGAAGCAGTACCAGACCATCAACGGCCGCACAGTTGTCATTAAAGACACTCACGTCTACAGTAATAAAGGTGCGCCTGCCGCATAGGGGCTGACTGCAGACCCTTGATGGCTAACGTGCATCCTACAGGCTTCAAGTCGCTCGCGCAGGCCCAACTCCTCAACGATTCGACATGGTACCCCGACATGCTCGAGCCCCGTCAATGGCTCATCTACTACATCTCGCGGCCGTTGATGGGGGTATGGGAGGAAATTAAGATCGAGCCGGCGGTTCTGATTGAGGGCATAGCGAGACGACGAGCCCTCGAGCAAAGCACATCATCCGCCGCCGAAGGCAACGAAGGTGCCATGGTGCCGCGCAAGAAGGATATCAAGAGTTTTCACGACCTCCTTACCCACTTTCCCGTCATCGCGCGACAGATGCAGCCCGGCTTGGAGAAGCTTTTCCGAGAGTTCTCCACCGTCTTCGAGCGACCGCTTCCGCCGCCCCCTTCAGCGTTCCGCATACCCGATCCGGAGCCCGACGGACCCATCACCACGGCGATGAGGAAGACCAGGTCCAACAGCATGTCGACAGCAGAGCGGCCCAACGGGATCCCTAACGGGCTGCCCGTGACGGAGAACTTTTACGCCGAGGACGACGAAGACGTGATGAGGGCGTCGCTCGAAACTGCCGTTACCGCGGCAATCGATCTGTTCCAGGGCGTCGACAAGCAGCAACTTTCGATGCTCGGGGCCACAACGGATTTGACCGGCCCACTCGTCGAGAGGCTCATCGAGAGATATGTCGCAGAGAACGTGCATCATCTTCTATTCCCGCGTCTCAGTGCATTAAAACGACCTTACGACCTTGAGTTGGAAGCCAAGATTCGGCAAATGGAGTTCATCGATCTTTCTCAGCTGGGAATCGCCATCCAAGGGGGCACCCGAGGGAAGCATGATCTCACGATACAACTTGGTTTAGCCGTGGAGGAGTTCAAGAAGATGGCCAACGCCCCGAGTCCGCAAGAGATGCTCGACCTACTTCTATCGACCATGAAGCTGGTGACGCACCTGACAAACTCTTCCCAGGCGCGAGCGGCCTCTTCCCCCGAAAAGCCAACCCTCACTGTCAATGCCGATACTCTTGTATCTCTACTGTTGTTCGTCGTCATCCGAGCTCAAGTAAGACACTTGCACGCGCGGCTCATTTACATTCGACATTTTATCTTCATTGACGACGTCGACAACGGCGAAATGGGCTACGCTTTGAGCACGTTTGAGGCTGTACTGGCGTACCTTGTGCTAGATTCGGCGGGACTGCGGAGGGCTAGTCGGAGAAACAAAGCGCTGTGGGACGCCGCTTGCAATGGAAGTTTAGACGACTTGAAGAAGATCATGGAGCCGGACGCGAACGCCATCATCGACGATGACATCTATGACTCACCCGATTCAAGTAGACGGCCGTCTCGAAGCTGGAGCTATACCAATGGCTCAGCTTCCAGGAGGTCATCCACCGCCCTCACATTCTCGGATCGCTTTTCCTCTGGCTCTGGTCTCAGCCATGTCTTCCCGTTCCAGTCCGAGGACAACGGTAGCGAACTTGACTTCCCTCTGCCCCCTGGCCCTCCTCCAAGGAAAGTGAAAAGGGTCGCCATGGACACGAGAAGCATGTCCAGCGGATCTGAGATCTCGTACCATTCCAGGGCGACAAGCAACGGGACTGTTGGGAGCGTGCTGGAAGGAGACGTCACGATAGATCGGTTATCGCAGACGCACAACTTGTTCGGAGAGTCAATCCTCATGATGGCCGTGCAAAACGAGAGGCCCGAGCTGTTGCGATACTTGCTCACACTGGATGAATATTATCCACCTGCGGTGGTACTGGACGACATCAACAACGAGGACACAACACTATTCAGCGCGGCCGTCCAACTGGGCCACGCAGAGCTGATCAACATCGTCCTCGACTTTGTCATGGCCTCGGCACCAAAAGAGAGGCTTTTGGAGTACTTTGCCCAGCAGGACATTTGGGGGCGCAGCTGCGCGCATTATCTGTTCCACGCGCCGTTTCTGATCTCTCGGATCGGGAAACTAGTCCCCTGGCGGCAAAGAGACAAGAATGGCCAGACGCCGCTTTTTGCGCTGTGTCGGTCCTATGACCACATCCACTACCGCGAAATGGTGGATGCCGGCCTCGATGCGGCCACGGAAGCGCAGGGTGACGGGCTTCCGCTGCACATTGATGACCATGTTGACGCCAAGGGCAATACGCTGCTTCATATTGTCAACGACCCGCAGCTCGCCATTAGGGTTCTCCAGCAGTGCGATGTCGACGTCAATGCCACCAACGAAAAGAAGTTTACGCCGCTGATGGTTGCCAGCAAATACGGCAGACTGGACATGGTGAGGACGTTGTTTGTGGATGCTCGCGTCGACGTTGCGGCCCGAGAGCTCCGAAGCCTGACGGCCGTCGAACTGGCCAAGGATGATGACATCCGAAATAAGATTGACGACCTGGCACTCTTCAGCATGCCTCCTGGCGCGGATGCGCGTATTACCGGTGTCGTAAGAGCCTTTTTTGTGGAAGACGCAACCATTCGCTTGGTCTTGAAATCGGCGGCCCCGGCCGACCATCTGAGCTACACCGTGACCACGAGCCGCCGAAACCTCTCGGATTTCGAGAATCTTGGCAACCTGCTTGCGCTAGAGAACCCGGCGTCTTGGATTCCGGCAGTCGCAGGTGTGCGGTCGCCGTTCCAGATACCTTCAAAGCCGTCGCGGGCGGTGTTGAGGGATATCCAGACTCGTGTCGACTGGTTTCTCAAGATCATGCTCAATCATCCGACGTTCGCGACGCATGAGATGCTTTGGGAATTCTTCCTGGTGCCCGATATCCAGCTCGGTATGATGGAGCAGAGGAGCAAGCTGAAAGCCGAGACTCGAGCTGAGAAGGTCCGAGAAGAGTACGAGCCTGTGCGGGATGTGCGCGAGGTCGAGCAGTTTGTGGACCATGCACGAGAGATGGTGCGGAGCGTCAACTACTCAACCAAGAGCGTGGCCAGGAGAGTCAACTCGATCTCGGTTGTCGCATCAGGTAAGTCATGATTCGCCCGATTACACGGACACAGAAAACCGCTGACCAAAGGTGTCTAGACCTCTACGATGCATCGGCTCTTCTGTACCGCGCAGTATCGACGCTGCCGTTCCTGCCACCGGCGTATATCACAGCACTCGACTCGTACGTCCGCACCATGGCACCAATGCAATCAAACCCGTACGGCATCTTCCACTCGACATTCTTGGCGTCGCAATCGACGATCCAGGCCCTGCTGTCGGCTCTATCGCGACCACCTGCCCAGATTGCGCAGATATCAGTTGCACGCAAGTCGGCGGAGAGGAGCTACAACTCGCTGACGCGATCGACACGTTGGCCGCTTGGCCTACTTGACGACACGCGACAGCGCCTCAACGAGGAGAGAGAGGAGAAGGTGCGCCAGTCGCAAGAGCAGGTGGACGACCTCGGTCGAGAACTGCGTTACTCGCAGCAGGTGGTGGCCGGGGAGCTAGCCGGGTGGCAAGACCTGCACGAGAAGATGGGGCGGCGGGCGATCAAA